AAATATAAAAAAAAAAACACTAATTTTAGTTTCACGGATTCATAATAAACATATTTTCGATCAGAAACGTCTTTTAAAATATGAAGATTAATCGTTTTTACGCATTAGATAATAATACAATAAAMATWTTCTCACTACATTAAACCTTGTCGCATCTTTCACATATGAACCAAGATCACTAWAAATTGAATATTTTTTAAACATGTTTATATATTTCAGTAGAAATKAATATTAAGTGATACTATTCCGCATATTTTTATCAACAAGCTATACTTAAATTAAATAATATCAACGATTTATATTGAAGGTTTTTATTTGTTTTAATCATTTCTCAACATTCAAYACATTTTGAGCAAAATATTTGAAAAACAATTACATACATGTTTCAATGTTAAACGCATATTTTTTAGTCGAAAATAATCATATCGTACTTGAAATTTGAAGCCTAGGCACCTATTTTGACTTATAGTTGAAATAAGTTTCACAAAAAAATGATCGGTATACGGGATTTAGGTGAATACGTTTTATCTATACGTTGCTTGTGGATCTGAAATATAAAACAATTATTACGCTGATATTCTCTTAAATTTAATCGTGATTTTGATCCAAAATATTTTAAATAAATACAAGTGTTATGTTATATCATATTATATTATTGTTTAAATAATACTAATTGTATTTTTTTTTGTGTGTGTTCTTCAAACAGGTGCCATTCGATGACCGACGGTTATTGTTTCCGCCGGGGCCGGCCGCAGTACTCATATCGGCTGCGTACTCTATATACCTGATGCTGTTTCCTCATTGGATGGCGCCGCTGGTATTGGCCGGTATGATTGCGGGTAAGTGTGCAAAATGATTAAATATCGTCACGTCGGTATACTATATGAAGAACAGTGAAACCTCTCTATAACGGAATCGCATGAGACCAAACATTTTTCCGTTTTAAATAGTTTTCCGCCTTAGAGAGGTAGAAATTGCATATATTATTTGCACTGCAGGGATTATTGACATTTTCCGTTATAAGAAGAATTCCGTTTGATAGAGTGTCCGTTATAGAGAGGTTTTACTGTATAAGCTATAAAGTCTGGCAGATTCCATGTTATTTTAGAGGTTTAATTAATGCTAGTAGGCAGTAGTGCATTTAAGAGAGGCGCCAACGTCTTAGGTTATTATACGTTGGYCCAATTATAACAGATAGATATTAACAATAGGATTTATGAGAAAATACCACTTCAAGGATATYCGTACCTATACCTCGATATTGTTTTAAGAATGCTACAATGTTTTGAATATTAATATATTATTATAATTATAATTATAACTATTAATTGTAATAGTTAAAAATTATTAATTKCATTTTCAGTATAAAAACTTGTCTTAAATACGAAAAATAAATAGCTATTTATTTTTGGTGTTGACAAAATATACAATGAACCTTTTAACTAAAAATGTGCTTAAAATATTCCCTAAAATCAAAGTTGTATAGAAATATGTGCTGCACCTGATCGGGAACTCTGCGCACGCCTATGACTGAACAATAATACTATACTACTACTAATAATAATAACAATGCTATATATTAAAACGATAATTGTTTTTGAAATAATGAGTATTATAGCGTACTTTACCGCGTACCTATATGATCAATAATAATAAACTGACAATTGTTCAACACTTTAGCTATAAGAGGTCATTTTCAGCCCTTCAAATGCATTAAGACATTTCACATATACCTAATATAGCCAATATAGAAATACAAGGCTACATTAGCTATATGATGAATGTATTTAAGCAATAAGCTTATATTACGTACACACAGTTTTAAATGAATGTGATTATAGTTCGTGAATTTACATTAGACAAGAAAAGGCAAACGATATAAAACCATAACTTTGTAATTATTATTTCATTACAATACTACTTAATTTTTGTTTGTTACYTTAAAAAAAGTTGTCAAATATTTGTGCCATGTAAAAAGATAATATAATTGGTGAAATGTAAGGAGATGGCGTGTTAAGAACATGTTGACCTATACGTTGTACTAAAAATGTCAAAATAAATTCGAAATAAACACACAAAAAACGAAATGCTATATAAATGTGATACATGTTTTTACCTATAGGTAATTAGGTTACTATATAGGTGCAATTTACTATTTACACCACCATTGTTAATTTCGGTTATAATTAAATGACCTAACTATCTAAATTATAAGTAATATTCCGTTTTTGTTTTAAAAAATAAATAAGTTTGGACAATGCTATAAATCGATCGTTCTTATAGTGTAGTTAATATAATTATCGTACRTTAAGTCTAAGCTTAAATTATTTTAGTGTATCRCTATAAAAATAATCTAATAAATACAAATCTTGTACAATCGTGTTCACAGGCTATGTAACTTATGATTTAATACATTTCTATTTACACTACGGATGTCCCAGGGAAGGATCGTACTTGTACACAATGAAAAGATACCACAACCAACATCATTTCGCGCACCACGAGAGCGGTCAGTATACAATCAGAACAGTATAATAATATACTAAACATTACATAAAAATACAAAAATGTATATTTTATGTATAAAGCACATACCCTCATTTGCATAGTCTAACATTATAATTTGTACTAGAATTTAAAAAGCTTCTATGTAAGTAAGGAGATTTTAATATTTCGCAAATACTCTAGGTACATATTATATTATGATTATATCATCCTAAAAATATATATACAATATATACAATATATTTTGTAGCATTGTTTTCATGAAAATCACTGCAACGTATAATGTTATCATAGTWAAGAGGACGTAATACATGCATGTTGTTGTCTCACAAGTGCATAACGTAWCAAATTATACGCTATTTTAAGTTAAGAGCATTATTATTTAGAAGACCTCTCATGAGCTTTTTATTATTTTTTAATTTCGAACCGAGTTATAATTATTTCAAAATTATAAATTGTTTGTACATATTAAAATATTTATATCTCGCTACAAAATTAAAATATAATAAAAACCCCATGAGGTCGTCTAAATAATACTCTTACTTTTAATAAGAGGTAAATTCACTCTAGTTTTTAAACTAACGGAGCTGAACGAGACCTGCTGAGCGTAMAATTTTTCATGTTACGCACTTGTTAGACGGAGACAACACATGCGTTTATAACGTCCTCTTAAGATAAATTACAATTTGTCAGATATAGAGTCGTATTTTTTTATAAAATAGAGTGATGSATTGCATAATGTAAAAAAAAAGAAAGAAAAATGTAATTGAATGATATCTGTTGACCCCCAATTATTTCGATCATGAAATATATTTTGCTCTTTATTCACTCGTGTATTTTAATATATATAGTGTATATCAGAAAGATTTTACAGTTTTCTATTTAAAATAAGTTACATTGTAATAAATCAAATTATCATGATGCACTCTGTTTATGTATTACATAGTATGCATGTAAACTGCAGTACATCATCTATAGTCTATAAACATATATGTTTAACATTATTTTAGACGGGCCACGTTATCCATGTGTTTCAGGTTTTGGTATCAGCAGCCAGTTTTGGGACCACATATTCGGCACAGCGATTGCACTGAAAAAGCTTAGCCGATGTTTAAAATGGTACTAACCTACTACCCGTAAACTCGTGCCTTATAATATATTATATATTTAAAAAAAAAAACAAATTAAATTATAATATTATATATATAAACATATTCATATATATATACGATGTGTATATGTATTAATATATACAATTATTATTATTATTACTATGATACAAAAGAAAGAAATCACACCAAATATCGGAGTGCCTAATGAAACTCAAATATTACAATTAATTTAACAAAGAATGACCCGCCCACGGAAGCAGTCATAACACAATGGTATATTATATTATATATATATATATGTAACTCGTCTCATTTTGTTATGCATACAATATATATATAAATGTATTTATTGTCGCTTTTCATTGCTATTTTGTTCAAAGGTATTACAAAACTTTAAAACTGTTTTGTTGTTACTCTGTACATTATCATTATTATTATTATTATTTTTTTTTGTCTTTTTAAATAATAAAAACAATATTATTTATACTTTGACTGGTTGATGTGCCAAAGCTTTTTATGAGTTATCCTCACGAGATCCATTTTTCTGATAACGAACACGTCCTATGGTTTTAGTGACCTATTTTTTTTTTTTTACTTCAAATGTCGTCTACGACATTGTGTGTATTTCGTATTTTGTTAAGCTTATTGTTTGTAAATCCTATTGCCTATTATTTTTTCCGCATTCTCCCGCTGATCCTTTTGCCAATAAATAATCGTAAATATTTTCTCGAATGGCTTAATGTTTACTACCTACTGTTATTCGTAGTTCGTTAACCATTTTTTTTAACCAACCTTCCTATAATACAATAGCGAGTGGTAAATCAGTGTCATTTTCGTCGATGTGAATGATGATTGCATTCGTAGAATATGTTTTGTACAATCTCGTCAATAGAAGAGCTAAATTCGTGGATACGAATTATTATGATACGTCTGTCAAACGTAACGGTCATGAATGAATTGTGTTCTTGCCTTGAGAATATAATTTTTTGTTGCTKTTTATAGAAGAAGAAAAAATCGATAACKTTCCCGCAGAAGCCATACCTGTATACCATAGCCTGTCTGCCAAAACGCACCTGGGTGTACCTATCACCGCCTATAGAGTGGTCCTTTTACGTAACCACGTCAGACACTTATTATTTTGAAAACTACTAACGTCTTAGAAAATATATTTTTATTCTTTTACATACCAATTTAAAATTATTAAAATTCATCATTTTAGAAAAACTATATATATTTTCACTCTACATTTTATCACTGTAATTTCGGGGGGCTGCACCACACTAGGCCTCCCTTTAACTCCACTAAACTGTTGGGTAAGCTTACATGCATATTGCGTGATGTATATCTGTATAATATTGTWTAGTAGTAAATGATGTATTTAATTACAAGTATAACACTGTCATGAAGTAAACGCAGATTATGAGTTTTCAAGCAGGTGTGAGATAGATAATATATTATATTGTATATTTATTATTTATAAAATAATGAAATACAAATTAGATCAATAATTGTTGTAATCGGTAACTTTAATTCAGTATACGAACGGTTTTCCATCAATCAATTAAATCTTAATTCTATGATTACGCCTAACCTAACCTTTTCTAACGTCCCACTTGTAGAATTCATGTAAAGTTGTGAACTTCGTCACAGCCACATCGCCGCATACATAAGTCCATTCCTAGGGTTAGACTATAGAGTTCAACAAATCTCAAGCAGAATAATTTACTTATTCTGTTTTAAATTTGCCGCACATTTTTTGTATTATATTATGTTTTAAGAGAACGTTAGATCCACAAGTATTATCTAATAGTTAGATATAACAAATAGTTAATTAATAGATTCTAACTAACGTATACATGAAAAGTTGATCGAATCCGGTTTATTATGAAGCTGTAATCTTTAATAATAGAGTAAATCGACATATTACTAAATTTAAAATTTACAAAACTTATTTTAAAATTAAGATATCAAAAATAACTAACCTTTTGAGGTGCCCTAAGTATAATATTCTTACCTTACAATTTGAAGATAGTCACTCTAATATTAAAAAGGCGGGTAAGTCGTGGATGTCGCTCTGCTGTACAGTAGGTTACAAGTGGGTTACTGCAATGGATGGAATTAAATTTGAATCCAATGATATTATATCATTGTATACGAAAAAC